TTTCACATATAAGCGAGATTACGTGGTATTTATCTTTCTGTGCCTCGCTTATTTTATTTAGCATGATATTTTCCAGGTTCATCCATGTTGTTGCAAATGAATTTCCTTCTTTGCAAAGGCTTAAAAGAATTCCACTTTGCATATAAACCACATTTTCTTTATCCGTTCATTGGTGGACATTTAGGTTGATTTCATATTCAGGATACTGTGAATAATACTATAGTGAACATAGGAGTACAGATAGCTCTTCAATATACTGATTTTAATTCCTTTGGATATATACTCAAAAGTAGGATTGCTGAATCAGGTGGTAATTCTATTTTTGGTTTTTTGAGGAACCTCCATACCATTTTCCATAATGACTCTTCTAATTTACAATACCATCAACAGTACAAGTGTTCTTTTTTCTCCATATCCTTACCAACCACTTGTTATCTTTCATCTTTTTTATATATCTGGCTGCTTTTAAATTATTTTCCTTATCACTTATTCTAAACAATTTGATGTTTTTTTCTTTTTCATTCCTTCTTTCTTTCTTTCTTTCTTTCTTTTTTTTTTTTTGAGTCAGAGTCTCCCTCCATCACCCAGGCTGGAGTGCAGTAGCACACTCACAACTACCCCAGCGTCAACCTGCTGGGTTCTAGCGATCCTTCCACCTCAGCCTTCCAAGTAGCTGGAATTACAGGCATGCGCTACCAAGCGAGGCTAATTTTTTTTAATTGTAGAGACAAGGTCTCACCATGTTGCCCAGGCTGGCCTCAAACCTGCGGGCTCAGGTAATCCTCTCGCCTCGGCCCCCCAAAGTGCTGGGATTACAGGCTTGAACCACTGCACCCAGCTGATGTTTTTTTCTTTATGCTTCTTTTTGCTTGAAGTTCATTGAGTTCTGGGACTAGCAGATTTATTGTTTTCATCACATTTAGAACAGGTTAAGCCATTATTTCTTCACATTTTTTTCTGTTTTCTCTCTCTACTCCTTTGGAAACTCCAATTATACATACATTAGGCCACTTGAAGTTGTCCTACAGTTCACTAATGCTAAGTTTTATCTTTTTTTTTCATTCTTATATTTCTCTTTGTGTTTCATTTTGAATGGTTTCTATTGATATGTCTTTAGGTTTACTAATTTTTTCTTCTGCAGTGTCCAGTCTGCTCTTAATCCCTTCCAGTGTACTCTCCATATTGGATATTGTAGTCTTCATCACTAGAAGCATGATTTGGTTCTTTGTTCTTTGTTCTTTTTTTTTTTTTTTTTTAAGTAGGAGTCTCACTCTGTCACCCAGGCTGAAATGCAGTGGCGTGCTCACGACTCTGTCACCCAGGCTGAAATGCAGTGGCGTGCTCACGACCACCATGACCTTAACCTGCTGGGCTCAGGTGATCCTTTCACCTCAGTCTTCCAAGTAGCTGGAACCACAGGAGTGCACCACCACACCCAGCTGTTGTTTTTTTTTAATTGTAGAGACAAGGTCTCACTAAGTTGCCCAGGCTGTTCTCAAACCCCTGGACTCAGGCAATCCTCTTGCCTCTGCCTCCCAAAGTGCTGGGATTACAGGCATGAGCCACTGCGCCCAGCTAGTTCTTTTTTCACTCCCATCTCTACCTAACATATCAAGTCTTTCTTTTAGTTTCTTGAATATTTGGAATACAGTCAGAACAACTTTTAAAAGTATCATGGCTATAATTTCTATCTTCTATTATATCATTTTTGAGTCTCTTTCCATTCATTTTTTTTCCTCATCATGGGTCATATTTTTCTAATTCTTAATGTTTTGTAAGTTTTTGTTTTTGTTTTTTTTTAGTTGGAGTCTCACTCTGTTGCCCAGACTGGAGTGCAGTGGCATGCTCCCGGCCACTGCAGCCTCAACCTGCTGGGCTCCAGCAATCCTTCCGCCTCAGCCTTCCAAGTAGCCAAAACTACAGGGGTGCGTGCTACCATGCCTGGCTAATTTTTTTGATTTACTGTAGAGATGAGGTCTCACCAAGTTGCCCAGGAGGGTCTCGAACCCACGGGCTCAGGTAATCCATTCACCTCAGCCTCCCAAAGCACTGGGATTATAGGCTGAACCACCGAGCCCGGCCATTTTGTAAGTTTTCAACATTGGATGTCATATATTGTGAACTTGTTGGGTGATGAATATTTTTGTATTCCTACAAATATTCCTGAGCTTTGTTGGATGAAGTAAAGTTACTTGGAAAATGTTTGATCCTTTAAGATCTTGTTTTTAAGCTTTGTTAGATGAGACTATTGTAGTATTTATTTTAGAGGTAATTTTGCCTCACTGCTGAGACAAAACTGTTTTGAATACTTTACCCGATGCCCCATGACTTCAGAGGTCTTCTATGATGAGAGGTGAGAACAGAACAAATCTAGCTCTGTATGAGTCCTGGGTATTCTTCACTCTAATCATTTCAGGTTATTACTGAAATGTCTTTTTTCTTAGGCTCTCTCTGCTGATAAAGCAAATACATATATGTGTACATACTAACCTGTGTGGTGTGTGTGTATAAATCTATATCTCTATATATTTCTATATGTAACTCTGTCTCTCTCTCTCTCTCTCTCTCCCCCCCCCCCAATTATCTATTTTTTAAATACAAGATCTCACTCTGTTGCCCGAGCTGGAGGGCAGTGGCATGATCAGTGCTCACTGCAGCCTCAAACTCCTGAGCTCAAGCAATCTTCCCACCCCAGCCTCCCAAGTATCTAGGACTATAAGCATGCCAGCATGCCCAGCTAATTTTTAAAACATTTTTTGGAGAAATGGGGGCCCATTATGTTGCCAAGGCTGCCTTGAACTCCTGGTCTTGTGCATTCTCTTGCCTTGGTTTCCCAAAGCACTGGGATTACAGGTGTGAGCCATTGCACCTGGCTTCTGTATTAAGTCAAACATGAGCTCATACTGATATTATCAACTGTCATCTATGACCATATAGATCATTCTAGCCTCCTGCTCCTTCTGTTTATCTGTAATTTCATACTGCAACAGTGATAAGCCTAGTTTTCACCATCCACCATTCATTGAATCAATTGTTCATTTCCAGTATACATGTAGAGTGGTATCAGAATTGTAAACCCATGCCTCTGTAGGAAATAACTATCAACTAGAGCACAGAGCTTATTTGCGGATCCTTTTGCCCTTAGTATTACAGACTTCATTCATTTCCAAAGTGACCTAGGGCAGCACCTCCCCGCCTCCCAGCTCCTTCAGTGAGGCTGTTTGAGACATTTGTAACACGGTTGGATAGTTTGGCCACAGTCTGCATTGGATGCTGGGATCTTCTAACCTCCTAAATTATTTTTGTTTTATATGCACACATTAGGTTCACTCTGACTGATAAAGTTCTGTGGGTTTTGGGGGGTTTTTTGTTTGTTTGTTTATTTTTTGAGTTGTGTTCTCACTCTGTTACCCAGGCTGGAATGCAGTAGAAAAATTATGGTTCACTGCAGCCTCGGACTCCTGGGTTCAAATGATCCTTCCTCCTTAGCCTTCTGAGTATCTGGGACTACAGATGTGTGCCACCATGCCCAGCTAATTTTTATTTTTGTAGATACAAGGTCTCACTGTGTTACCCAGGCTGGCCTCGAACTCTTGGGCTCAAATAATCTTTCTGCCTTGGCCTCCCAAAATGCTGGGATTGCAGGCATGAGTCATTGTGCACAGCATTACATTTTATACAAATAGTTTCACCACCTCAAAACCTCTGTTCTATACCTATTCAGTCCTGATCTTTTTACCATCATAGCTGATCTTTTTATCATCGCTATAGTTTTGCCTTTTCTAGGGTGCCATGTATTTGGAATCATATAGTAAGTAGGCTTTTCAGACTGGCTTCTTCCACCAACAATATGCCTCTAACACTCATCCATGTCTTTCCATGGCTTGAGATCTCATTTGTTTTTACACTGAATAATGTTCCATTGTCTGCATGGATGACAATTTGCTTATCCTCTCACCTACTGAAGGGCATCTTGGTTGCTTCCTACATTTGGCAATTAAGAATAAAGCTTCTTTAAACATCCATGTGTAGGCTTTTGTGTGGCCGTGTTTTCAATTCAGTTGGATAAATACCTAGAAGTGAGATTCCTGTCATACAGTAAGACTGTTTTACTTTGTCAGAGCTGCCAACTGGTCTTCAAAGTGGCTGTCCCATTTATAGCATTCCCACCAGCAATGGATGAGGGTTCCTGTTGTTTTAATCCCCACCGAATTTAGTATTGTCCGTTTGTTGGATATTAGTCATTCTAATAGGTGTGTGATGGTACCTCATTGTTTTAATTCACAATTCCCTACCCATCAGTAATGCGGACTTCTTTTCATGTGCTTACTTGCTATCTGTATAACTAATTTGCTGAAGTGTCCATTCAGCTCTTTTGTTGTTTTAAGACTTCTTTGTACATTTTGGATACAAATCTGTTACCACATGTGTTTTGCAAATATTTTCTCCCAGTCTGTGGCTTTTATTTTCTTAGCGATATCTTTTGTAGAGCAGAAGTTTTTCGTTCTTACAAACTCCAACTTATTTTTCCTCTCACAGATTACACGTTTGGTGTTCCCCACATGGATTTTTATACTTTATTCTGGTGTCTTTTACTGACTTAACAATTGCAGAAGATCTGGAAGGAAGGAGGCAAACAAGATAATAAGTTCAGTGTAGCACTCGTTGAGCGTGGTAGTGGGGGTAGCATGCTTGGGGAAGAGGTAGCTGTGAGAAGGCCCATGGGTGGATCCAGAGTCCAGGGGTCAGCTCAGCAGGAATGAGTGATAGCATGGAATCTTTAGGGTTGCCAGCATGACAGCGGTATGCGGTAGTTGTAGGAGCGAGCACAGGAGGCTGTGACTCAGAGGCAGGTGCCCGACTCAGGATGGGCACCCTGCGGACGAGTTTATGCTTCATCACTCCGTGCCTCATATGCTAAATCACAACCTCATAGGCCCAATTTAGACATACAACAGTGATACCTTGACTGTACAACCATCTTCCTCTTCTTTTCCTAGATACCCTTTCACCAGCTTCGAGTCCCTCCTCGGTTACTTATCCTGTGGTTCCTGGTAGCATGGACGAGTCCCCCAGCGGAGTATTAAACATTGAGTGTAGAATCTGCGGGGACAAAGCCTCGGGCTACCATTATGGAGTTCACGCATGTGAAGGCTGCAAGGTAGAGTGGATGCAGAGGAGGGCAAGTGGCTGTCACCATCGGCCACTGTGGTTGCTTTTATCTTATGTGAAAATGTCTGTCATACTAAAGAAAGCTGCAGAAAGTCCCCAATAAAAAACTCACCTGGCTGTGTGCAGTGGCTCATGCCTGTAATCCCGGCACATTGGGAGGCCAAGGCGAAAGGATTGCCTGAGCCCAGAAGTTCGAGACCAGCCTGGGCAACATGGCAAGACCACATCTCTACAATAAATCAAAAGAATTAGCAGGGCATGGTAGCACGTTCCTATAGTCCCAGCTACTTGGGAGGCTAAGGCAGAAGGATTGCCTGAACCCAAGAGATCAAGGCTGTGGTCGCCGTGGTGATGCCACTGCACTCCAGCCTGGGCAACAGAAAAAAAAGAGAGAAAGAAAGATCCCTTCTTGAATACAAGACAGAGGATGTTTGTCCTCTCATCTCTCGACCCTCACTGAAGACCAGGTAGGGCAGGTGTTCTCATGTTCCCAGTGAGGGATCTGGCTATCAGAGAGACAGCTTGCTCACAGTACCCAGCATCTTCCACTGCTGCATCCTGACCTCTGGCAGTTCCTTCCTGCATGTCGGGGCCTCTCCACCCAAGCTACATGTGCCTTGTGTGTATCCTGATGCTAACTTAGAGAGCTCCTAAACAGAAATGGCCCAGGGCCAGGAGTGCATAAAGTCCGGCCCATCCCCTATTGTCCCGTATGCTGCCACCTGGACCGTTGGCCCTTCAGTGTTTGCCAGCGTGATGAGTGGAAGGAGTTCTTCCTATTCTTTCCCAAAGTTCTCCTGAAGTAGCACATCCTTTTAAGTCTGGCACATTCTGAACATCACATATGTGGAAAAGCTAGTCATTGGAATGTTCATGTAAAATCAGAATCCCCTTTCATGGTGCATTCGGGAAGTGTTTATTAACTTAGAAAATGCCACTGCCTTTCCTGGCATGCTCACAATCTACGATTTTGAAATGCTGACCTTCTGCCCCAAGCCAGGCACAGAGAGAAGAGGACACACAGCCGGGACATCATCGTAACATCCTGACATTTAGAATTCTCTTTTCTCAACCTCCCTCTTATGATCCCATTCATTCCTTAGCCATCCTATTTTACACACCAGGATAAGGATATCAAGTGAAGATTTCAACCTTCCTCTGCCCTTCCCCAAGAAAGTCCTGTCCTTTCTCATGTGGGCTAGTCAAGCCTATCATGTCAGAAATATGGAAGTATGGCTTAAAAGCAAAGGAAAAGAGAGCCCGAAACAAAAATAAACTCCTTCACAAGTTTTCTAGCCACATACCTTTAAAATTTACTTGTAAACTGACCTTTTCCTGAGGGGCATGATTTAATTACTCTTGACTAATTGTTTTTTTTTCCTAAATGGACTAACTAGTAAAGTTATTTCTTACTGGATACAGCTTAAGATGCTTTTATAAAGCAAGGAAATTATTTTAAAATAGCTGGTTTCCTTTTATATTTTTATATTTGATGGACTTAATATACTCTTAACAAAAATTCCAGAAAGTTTTTTTTTGTCACAAATATGGAAATGTCATAATGGGAGAAAGTTTACATTTCTATACATCTTTGCAGAACTAAGCAACTGTTTGGAAAACTATAATTGTGTCTTTCCAAATCAGAATGAGGATATTCTAAAATTACTTTAAATTTTTATTGTGTTTCATTTTAAAATGATTAAATTTAAAATTCTATCAAACTTTTTCGAAGAACCGTTTCTCTAAATTTAGTTCATTAAAAAAGTTTTTTTTGATTGCCTGAGCCCAGGAGTTCGAGACCCGCCTGGGCAGCGAGACCTCATCTCTACAATAAATCAAAAAATCAGCCGGGCATGGTAGCACACGCCTGTAGTTCCGGCTACTTGGAAGGCTGAGGTGGAAGGATCGCCTGAGTCCGGCAGTCTGGGTGACAAGAGTGAGACTCCAACTCAAAAAAAAAAAAAAAAAAAAAAAAAGTTTTTTTTCACAATTTTTATAATCCCTGACTTTATTTCATCATGACATTAACTACTATAGGCTTCTATTTTACAAAAGAGCCCAGGGGCACCAAATGATATGCTATGTGAAAATATAATATAGAATCATAAAATTTCTATTTAAGAAAGAATAAGAATTGCATTCCTTGAAAATATATTTTCCCCTGTACTGGATAAATAATTCTTGTAGGATTAGAGGCCTCTCCTACTAGCTGATGTAGAGTATAACTTATATAACTGATCCTTAATGAAATTTTGGAGGAAAAAAAACCTGAGACTGATTTCTAAATTTGAAGATACAAACCTACCTAGCATTCTTCTGAAAAGTCCAGAGTTTTTTGCAAGAAAATTTCTTGGGGGTCGGGGGGACTGGCAGTAGTGGGAAACTGTCAGGGAATGGGGGCACAACTCAACAGGGTTCCTGCATAATGAACATTTGTATACCTAACCCTGAATGGTACCCCACATCTTCAAAACAAAAAAAATTTTTTAAAAGAAAAAGAGACAATAAGTGAACAACAAAAAAGATGACTCAAGCAAGTATACTGATTTGTTAGTTATTCACATTCTTTAATAAACCATATGTTGATCTCATAGGGTTTCTTTCGGCGAACTCTTCGACTAAAGCTGGTGTATGACAAATGCGACCGTAGCTGCAAGATTCAGAAAAAGAATCGAAATAAGTGCCAGTATTGTCGTTTTCACAAGTGCCTTTCCGTCGGGATGTCACACAACGGTAGGTAAGGTAGTCCTGCACATCTTCCCAGCCTGTTCCTCAGTTTACCTGCCTTGTTTGATTGGAATGGACTATGATTTGAATAAATGTTCTCTAACATTTAACACCTAAAATATTTTGTAATCAGAATAGCCTAAAAAAATAAAAATCTCAAATAGCTGAGATGCAGCAGAGCATTGGACTTATTGCCGGAGACTTCAAGTGGTAAGACTTTGGCATAAAATATAACAACTGACTAGAAATAGCTGAAATGACAGAATGTTCCTCTCCTCCAGGTGACGTATGTGCCATTCCAAACAGTTCACCACATTATGAGTTTCCTAATAGTCAGTCATTCTCTAATTTTAGATTGTGCTAATTACAACATGAAGGTAAATTCACATAAGTAATTCACGAGGGTTGCATCTCTACCTTTTGGAAAAAGAGAAAGATGTTGTATAAACTCATTCTAAAACTCATGTTCATGTCCTTAACCTTAAAGGTCAATTACGTAATGACAGTGCACTCCCAATGAGATAAGTGATGATGTTTCCTTTGATTCTAACCTTTTTAAAAAGTCTAGAATTTATGGAGCTTGAGTTTTATTTTCATCTCTCCATAGTCGCAAGTTGTATTGTAATGAGAAGTGGATTTTTAACTCACCTCTACATTTTCGTTTGTAGTTTAATTCCTGGTGGGAACTTTTCATCTGACCCTTTCACCTCAGTCATCGCCCCGCTGCTCACATCTGCCTGTTTTCTGTTATTCCATGTCTACCCCCAAACCCCAGCAATTCGTTTTGGACGAATGCCAAGATCTGAAAAAGCAAAATTGAAAGCAGAAATTCTTACATGTGAACATGACATAGAGGATTCTGAAACTGCAGATCTCAAATCTCTCGCCAAGAGAATCTACGAGGCCTACTTGAAGAACTTCAATATGAACAAGGTCAAAGCCCGGGTCATCCTCGCAGGAAAGGCCAGCAACAATCCAGTAGGTGTTTTTGCGGCCATTTAGTGGAATCTGAAGTGTTCCATTGGCAACATGTCAACTAGTGAGAAAATGTGTTAAACGTTGAGAAAATGTTATCTATCCCAAAGTGAAACAAAAGACTGTGGAAATGGTTCATTTGGAGACTAAAATACAGCTTAAGACTGGGCAGAATAACTCATGCCTGTAATCCTAGTACTATGGGAGGCCAGGGCAGGAGGATTGCTTGAGGCCATGAGTTCAAGACCAGCTTGAGCAACATATTGAGAACAAGTCTCTACACATTTTTTTTTTAATTAGCTAGGCTTGGTGGCGTGTGCCTATGGTCCCGGCTAATCAGGAGACTGAGACAGAAGGATCACTTGAGCCCAGGTGGTTGAGGCTGTGGTGAGCTATGATCACGTCACTGCACACCAGTCTGGGCGACAGAGTGAGACTCCAACTCAAAATAAAATAAAATGTAGCGTAACAGCAACTCCTATCTTCTTGCTTGGACCCACCTTAAAACTCTTAGCAACTAAGTTATTATAATGGCTATGCAATAAATACAGCAAACAAACAACCCAATAGCTTACCAAGCACTAGGGTTGTTTCTTAAGTGTATTTTTTAAAAATCCCTGTATTGGTCAGGTTCGGTGGCTCAGTCTGTAATCCCAGCACTTTGGGAGGCCGAGGCGAGAGGATTGCCTGAGCCTGCGGGTTCGAGACCCGCCCGGGCAACTTGGTGAGACCTCGTCTCTACAATAAATCAAAAAATGAGCCGGGTGTGGTAGCACACGCCTGTAGTTCCAGCTACTTGGAAGGCTGAGGCGGAAGGATTGCCGGAGCCCAGCAGGTCGAGGCTGCGGTGGCCAGGAGCAGCCACTGCCCTCCAGTCTGGGTGACAGAGTGAGACTCCAACTAAAAAAAAAAAACAAAAAATCCCTGTATTTAGGCCAGAAAACGAAACTGTTCACTTCCCTTTCAAAATGTGTTTCTGCATCCTTCCTCCTAAAACTACTCCCTCCCTCTTGAAGCTCCCCCTCCTCCCCACCATGCCTGCCTTCTTTTTTTTCTGTGAGAAGGCAATGACATCTCATGACTTCGAAAGAGTCGCTTATTTTTTTCAGAGACAGGGTCTCACTATGTTGCCCAGGCTAGTCTGGAACTCAAGGGATCCTCCCACTCCAGCCTTCCTAGTAGCTGGGATTACAGACACCTGGCTGGGGTCATTTGTTTACAGAAACTTTATTGCCCTTTGGATAGTTCTGGACCTTTTCAGAAACAACTAAGATTGTCCCTCATGGCTCCTCCTATACTTCCTCACCCACCTGGCTCAGTATCCTCCTGCCCCCACCCCTATAGTTAAATAAGTCTTTGTCTCCCTTACAGAATGAATCTCAGAGCTATCTTCAAAGAGAGGGATGGCCCTAGGTTAGTGAATGAAGATATTTTGCCTTTTTCCTATGAGCATGGTGAAACAGGTTTAATTTGTGCTAATGAATAGCTCGAAGCAATCCTTATTGGGAATTACAAGCTGGGATTTTTAGTCACAGGAAAATAAAGTATTTCACAAGCTACTTACTTTCATGAACAAACCAAATCTCTCTTTTACTGAGTCTTTTAATTCTTCAGTGAATTCTCCAATTAAATAGGCTGAGGTATTTTAGAAGGGTTCTAGCAAACACCCACGCTAGGAGGCCCCAGAGGCTCATACCTTTTCTGGATCACAGGGGTGAAGCAGTGGTAACCTTTTCACTGTGCATTTCGTCCCTGGGAATGATTAGTACAGCCCAAGGGGTAACTAAAACTTTTGTTCAAGATCTTGTATATCTCTCTTGGATTTTAATCATGTAAAACAAACTTAAAAGTCATCTTTACTCTTAACAAAGCCTTCTTGTCTAATGTGAATTTAATTCCCATAGAGTGCCCTTCTGCATCTCCCCACAGAGACCCACAAAGCTCTTAGAAAGACCCTGTCACTCTCAGCCAGACTTGAGAAAATCAGGAAGACTGAGGACTCATACACAATGACTCTCAGACAGAAATCTGTTTGTACTTTGGTCTTAAGGAAATACATAATAGATTAACAGCCTAGGATCGGGGTTCACAATTCTGTTTTCTATAGAAAAAGATAATTTAGTGCACTGCTAAGAGTCACATGCCCACGCCCCACAAGCCAGAACACAACAGGCACAAATGTTCAAGGCAATCTCCAGCTGTCACGTCACTCCTTGCATTTGATCACACTGTTAGCTCCAAGCCAAAGTCATGTCCCATCCTGTAACCTCATCTGCACATGGGTTGTTGGAGACATGGCCCTCCTCTTCCTCCACCTAGCCTGATCCTTACTTTCAGTATGAGGCACACTCTCTGCTCAATCTGGAAAAAGACCCCACAGGCCGGTGCCTACCATCAGGTCACACTGCCCCAATCTCTTCACAGAAGTCTGGTTTTGCAACTACAGTGTTGTGTTGAAAGGCCTTGTACCCCTTACACAGTATAGAAATCAACCCCGGCCGGGTTTGGTGGCTCAACCTGAAATCCCAGTGCTTTGGGAGGCCGAGGTGAGTGGATTGCCTGAACCCGCGGGTTTGAGACCTGCCCAGGCCAGTTCGCGAGACCTCATTTCTACAATAAATCAAAAATCAGCCGGATGTGGTAGCGTGTGCCTGTAGTTCCGGCTACTCGGAAGGTTGAGGCGGAAGGTTGAGGCGGAAGGATCGCCGGAGCCCAGCAGGTTGAGGCTGCGGTGGTCAGGAGTGTGCCACTGCACTCCAGTCGGGGCGATGGAGTGAGACTCCAACTCAAAAAAACAAAAATAAAAACAAAAACAAACCAAAAAAAGAAACCAACCCCATCTGTCTGTTGGAAATCTGTTTGTGGCAGAGAGGGGCTAAAAACAGTTTAAATTATTCCTTTCTAAAAATCAACCTGCAAGCAAGCTCCAAACCTGCTAGACATGGGATGTGAGAAAACCAAGTAACCACAAGCCACTTTCCTGGAAATGCACGATAGTAGCCAATTCACAACCTTATCCCTGCATCCTCTCTTTGTGAAGTTATCGGTTTACAACCCCTGGGAACAATTTGTTCTTTGAAAATCTGGTTTTGCTAAATAGGGAGACCAAGCATCGGCCCTGACATGCTTACCTTGACCTGTACTCAGTGACCCACACTTAGTCCCCTTTTCATCAAGCTCCAGCCTGGGTGACCTCACAACCCAAGCCACACCCAGCAGAGTCTCAGGAAGGCACACAAAATCCAGGGCCTACTGCTGACGTCCTTTCTGCTTGGGAGTGAGAGGAGGAATCATGAACTGTCTAGGTCAATAAACAGATGCATTCACATGGCCAGCCATAATGAACATGAACTGCATAACCGGGAGGGGCTAGGGCAAGAGTGGGCACCAACTCCCTAGCTATGACCAAAGTTTGGCCCTGAAATGTTCAAAAGGGGGAAGGGAAGGACAGGGGTTGAATAGATTTGCATTTTAAAGTACCCTTCTGGTTTGCTAGAAGTGGGGGTCTGAATTTATCTTTACAGCGGCCAATGCTTTTGCTGTGTGAAGACCAGCTCATGGCCTCAGATCAGATAAAGCAAAGCCCTGTAGCTGACCATGCTATTGCTTTGAGGGAGGGCAGGGTTTGGGTGAAGGGTGGATGGAGAATGTCTGTTTCCATCTAAACACTGGGACTGGGTTGAGCCTCTAAGATTTCAGAACTGTGGGCCAGAAGATGGTCAGGTCCCTTAGTGACTGGGCTAGAGCACCTCTGGGGAACTTGGCCTTTGATTTGAGGGTGACAGGGATGGAAGCAGAGATGAGGGGAAGGAGGAGGACTCTTCCAAAAGAGGTGCTTTTCAACAGCATCTTATAAAGGTAATATGTTGATCTGTCAGGGCTTCAGAAGCAACATAAAAATGAGACTGAGGAACTTTGGTGAAGTCAGCGCCTTTCTTGTGATGTTTGCTTCCCCAGCGACCAGGGGCTCAGCCCCCAATGTGCATGCATGCACACGTACACACATGCACACACCCACACTCACACACTCACTCTCGCTGGGGCTTAGCTGCTTTGGGTTTGAGAAACTCCCCACACATTCTGAAAAATTGGTGAGGGTGTTTAGTTAAAAATCAAGCAAGCAACTTTTAGTACTGAATATTTAGACTTCAGAAATTCAAAGTATAAGATGATAATGAGGTAGTACTGCTACTTTTTTTTTTTTTTTTTTTTTGAGTTGGAGTCTCACTCTATCACCCAGACTAGAGTGCAGTGGCCGCTCCTGGTCACTGCAGCCTCGACCTGCTGGACTCCGGCGATCCTTCCGCCTCAGCCTTACGAGTAACCAGAATTACAGGCATGCGCTACCACATCCGGCTGATTTTTTGATTTACTGTAGAGATGAGGTCTCGCCAAATTGCCCAGGTGGGTCTCGAACCCACGGGCTCAGGCAATCCACTCACCTCAGCCTCCGAAAGCGCAGGACTACAGACTGAGCCACCAAGCCTGCTGGTATGCAAGTTGGGATTAAGCAGATTAAAATGAAGTCAACGAGTCTAATTTTTGACATGCAGTTGAGCATGGACTTTTAAGATTTTAAGACCAGTTTCCAACGAGGAGTTCCAATATTATTCTCAACATTTCAGAATCTTTGAAATAAGGTTGGCCACCTGGGGGCCATGTTGGAACAGAATTACTCCTTTCGATGGATGTTACCTCATACCATGGCATGAAGTGTTGCTTGCTATGTCAGGGTCAAATATTACAAAACCTACTACTTAAGTTGGCTTTAGATTGAAAAAAATGCTTAATATTTTATGCTATTTCTGGAAATGTATAGGAAAACATATCAAGAGCTTATTAAATAATTTCATCCAAAGCAATACTACTAATGATTCACATTTAATTTTTTCCTAAAAGATGATAGCTGTTTAGGTTGCATCAGATTTATAAGGAAAAGAAAAGATGACAGTTACTAACTCAGATGAATTCTCATGAGTACTCTCATTTAACACTGGAACACAGTGAGGTGTGAGCAGGACAACATTGTATCAGTGAGGGGAGCTTTCTGATCTTGGCCTTGGCCCAGAGTGATCTGGGAAAAAATTAGGCAGCTTTCTGCCTCATGTGGTTTAAAATCTTTACAACGTGCTTTATTTATTTAAAATAACTGCCTGTAATATCAGATATATTCACATTCAAACTTGAATATAAAGGCACATTCCAAAGTTAAATATAATCTGCATGGATTTTTTTAAAGTAGTCTTACCAAGAATGCTAATTAATAATGTTTCCAAATTTTTGAGTGTGTTTTGCAACATAATTTCTCTTTAGCTTAATAAACCTCCATTTCTTAATGTTGGCACTCGTTTTTAATTCAGTGGTTTCAAATTTTGCCTGTTAAATGAAGACCGCTCTCTAAAATCCAAGTGATAATTTTATTAAAATGAAATTAAATATTTGTTACTATGTAAGTCCTCATTTATGAGAGCAGATCCCCCATAAACTAGTCCAGGGCAGGCTTCAAGGGCATGTGAGATGTTTTACAATGCCCAGTGCTTAGAAGGGCTCCAGGCTTGGGGGTTAATGCTCTGCTGTTGCTGTCTTGAAATTCACAATCAACTTTTTTTTGTTTTGTTTTGTTTTGTTTTGTTTTGTTTTTGAGTTGGAGTCTCACTCTGTCACCCAGACTGGAGTGCAGTGGCTGCTCCCGGCCACCGCAGCCACGACCTGCTGGGCTCCAGCGATCCTTCCGCCTCAGTTGTTTTGTTTTTGAGTTGGAGTCTCACTCTGTCGCCCAGATAGAGGGCAGTGGCCGCGCCTGGCCACTGCAGCCTCGACCTGCTGGGATCTGGCGATCCTTCCGCCTCAGCCTTCCAAGTAGCTGGAACTACAGGCGTGCGCTACCACGCCCAGCTAATTTTTGATTTATTGTAGAGATGAGGTCTCGCCAAGTTGCCCAGGCGGGCCTCGAACCCGCGGGCTCAGGCAATCCACTCACCTCAGCCTCCCAAAGTGCGGGATTATAGGCACAATCATCTTTTAACAAGGGGCCCCATGTTTGCATTTTGTTCTAGGCCATGAACATTATGTAGAAAGGCCTGTACTTGTCCTATGAGATGCTCTACCAAAAAAGTAAATCATCCTAAGCATATATTCATATGTAACCAAACACCGTGGGAACCACTGCTTACCTTAGCCTCCCTCTTGAAGATTCACAGTGTACATCTGTTATGCTAAAGACTCGGAGAGGTCCCAACTTCATTTAACCTCAATATTTCTCTGATTTCTTCCTTTCTTTCCTTTCTCCCCTTCCCTCTCTTCCCTTCTTTCCCTCCCCTCCCCTCCTCCCTCCCTCTCTTCCTTCCTTCCTTCCCAGTTGCCTGGAGTGCAGTGGCATGATCATGGTTCACTACAACCTCAAACTGCTGGACTCGAGCAATCCTCCGCATCTCAGCCTCCCAAGTAGCTGGGACTACACACGCGCACCACCATGCCTGGCTGATTCTTAAGTCTTTTTGTAGAGACAGGGTCTCGCTGTGTTCCTCATATTGGTCTCAAACTCCTGAGCTCAAGTAATCCTCCCACCTTGGGCTCCCAAAGTGTTGGGATTACAGACATAAGCCACCATGCCCAGCCCTCTAACTTTTCTTTTTTCTTTTTCTTTTTTTGACCACAGAAGTCTTCTTTTTAAAAAATTATTGAATACTTTTATTCCTGCTGAATGAACTTTAGAACAATTCAGTGATTTGAATAAAGTAAAGGTGGCCTAATAGTATACTTTCCGGAATTGAGAGAATACCATCAGTTATCCTTTCAAAATTTTTATCTAGTCCATCCTAAAAAAGGTTAATTTGTTACATTTGAGCCCCAACTTTCTGTGAAGCAGAACTATCTCTAAACTTTCTCCAAACAATTGTAATCTGGCCTGTTTTTAAGATCTTTGGAGAACACTTTAGTCTTCTTTCACCAGACTTGAGATTTTAGAAATTTAGCTTTGAATTTTATATTCAGAACGTTTTCACTCATTCATGAGTAATTTTTAAAATATTCCTTTTCCTCTGATGCAGATTTGTTTTTTTTGTTTTGTTTTGTCCAGCACTCTGTTGCAAGTTCTAGCTCTGTCTGAACATTTCCAAGACAATCTATGTGACTGTGACTGACATGTCCACCTTGCCTCTATATAGGCCATCCCACAGATGTCCTAAAAATGGTTTTGTGCAGTGATTCCTTGCAATGCTCTTGTGAACCCAGAAATAGGGAACACTCCATGCCAGGGGTTCAGGAGCGTTGTCAATGGCGTGTTTTGCCCACTGATGGTATGAATCTTAAAATCTCTAGGATGCCAGCTGGGCACGGTGGCTCATGCTTGTAATCCTCACACTTTGAGAGGCTAAGGCAGGAGGATCACGTGAGGCTAAGAGTTTGAGACCAGCCTGGGCAGCATAGCAAGACCCCATGTCTACAAAAAATAAAAATAAAAAATAAAATTTTTTTTTTAGTTGGCCAGGCATAGTAGCATGTGCCTATAGTCCCAGATGCTCTGCACTGTAGCCAGGGCAACAGAGCAAAACTCATCTCTAAAAGTTAAAAAAAAAAATCTCTGGATACTTCTGTACTCTGTGTTCAAATATTCCAGTGGGTAGGAATTGGAAATAATGTCTTGGCCTACTGCATTGTTGATCTGTATTTGCCTGTGCCATAGACCATGTTATAAATCAGAGAGATCCCTCAGATGCTGTCACTTTCTCCTCAGCAAACAAATGGAAAGTTCCAACAGTGGTATCCGTGCCCATTCTCCTCAGTCCCCCCAAGACATAATATAATCCCTTCTGAGTATACTGGTTTCAAACAATATGACCAGCCATCTCTTGAACCACTTGATCTTCAGAAACTGGCAGGACAAGTGGGTTTAGATGCCAATGATATGGCAGCATGTAGGGAGCCACTGGGAGGATTCTGCTTGTTCCAGAATGTGGAGCACTAAGTGAAGGCTTCAGTCTTATGCACAGAGAGAACAAGGGAACTCTGAGGCTTTCCCACTTTATCCCTGAAGAGTTTAGCAATGTTTGTATGCTCATTTCTACACAAATGTCAACTTTTTGAGTTGTATAAAGTTACATGCCAAGTGTATTCATTCAACAGTCTGTGTTAAATAATAATGATGCCTACTTCTAAAGTTCATATGTTGATAAAATTAAGAATTACTGTAATGAAGACTCTTGCAGTAGTACTTAGTAGTTTAGAGACTATTATAAAATATTAAATGTGCTTTGCTAATATTGTTAGATTTAGTTTCTTAGCAATAAATCTCTACTCAATGTCACGTGATGATAATTATTATCTTCTGATTTATACTGTTAGTTCTCTATTAATGTCTTATTTTTCCCAACTAATTTTAAAGTTGACTAAGAATGAGGACTGTGTTCTATGTGTATTTTGAATTCTGCATAGCACCAAGCTTAGTGATTTGGACACAGTAGCTACTCATTAATTTATTGATGATTAGGAGGATAGCTCATCACAAATCACCTGACTTACTTCAGTTCCTTCTTTGTAGCCTTTTGTCATACATGATATGGAGACATTGTGTATGGCCGAAAAGACGCTGGTGGCCAAGTTGGTAGCCAACGGCATTCAGAACAAGGAAGCAGAGGTCCGCATCTTTCACTGCTGCCAGTGCACATCAGTGGAGACTGTCACGGAGCTCACAGAATTCGCCAAGGCCATCCCAGGCTTTGCAAACTTGGACTTGAACGATCAAGTGACTTTGCTAAAATATGGAGTGTATGAGGCCATATTTGCAATGCTGTCCTCTGTGATGAACAAAGACGGGATGCTGGTAGCATATGGAAATGGTTTCATAACTCGTGAATTCCTAAAAAGCCTCAGAAAACCATTCTGTGATATCATGGAACCCAAGTTTGATTTCGCCATGAAGTTCAATGCGCTGGAACTGGATGATAGTGATATTTCCCTCTTTGTGGCTGCTATCATTTGCTGTGGAGGTGAGTGGTTGCTTTAATCTGCTGGTGCCATGTAACAGGCTCCAATCTTGAAGAATCTGACAATGGTAAATCTGATACCAGCTTGAGCTGATATTGTGGAGTGGATATTTGCAGGGTGGGAAGACATCTGAGCCCCAGGTTTCCACTGAGTAGAAAGAATCAAGTGCAAATTATATAAATATTGTATGATACTGTAATATATGTTATATATAAATACATATTTGTATATTTTGTCAATATAATTATAATATATAAATATACTCCATTTATATTATATCTAATATAATTTGCTATCAAACGTATAGACATAAATTATGATATATAGTTACAATATAATTATAATTGTAGCAGTAATAGAATTATTATATACTTATATAATTATGTTATCTTATATCCATTAGACGATATTCTATAAAGTACCATATGCAGATGTGCTATATACAGTATAGCTGTTGTCACAATTGATAACATTTGTGCTGTTTCCTAATTAGAAAATATCAGGAGCTAACTGGCAGCAACTGCAGGGTTTGCTTTGCCAGAGGAAACAGATCCCAATGAAGGCAAATCTGGGTCTCTCTGTGGAAGTTGGCTCTGCAGTCCCCAGATTTTTGGCTCTGTGTAGTGTTCATTTAAATAGCCCTGTCTTCGGGTCTAAGAAGGTCATTTTCCTACTGTAAACTCGGCTAACCATACCCAGTCTTGGCAGAGACCCCAGGGTGACTGTCCCCCAAAACTGCCCAGAGCTATACTGCTCCGCCTAACCCCTGTGATTTACTCACTCTCAGAATGGAGGCTAGACTCATCCCTATCAGGTGTGTCCCTGTGACCATTTGGCTGGGCATTAGTCAGATGGAGGAAGTCCTTGCGCTCTGGTTTAAAGTATATAAGACCAAAGCAGTTATACATAATTTGTCCTTTTGCATAGCCAAAATGTAGTGTTGTGGGTAAAAAGCAACTGCAGAATTATTTATAGGTAGCATAATCACAGTTTTGTAAAAGAAATGATCCTATATCAATCCAACAGAGAGAGAGAGAAAAAAAAAACAGTGAAATACACCTTAAACCTGTTATGGTAGAGTTAAATTATGAGGGGAGAATTCTTTCTAGTTTGTAAAAAATGTATCTGTCCCAGCTACACAGAAGTCTGAGAAAAGAGGATCACTTAAGCCCAGGAATTCAAGACCAGCCTGGGCAATATAGCAAGACCCCATCTCCAAAAATAGTAATAATTTTAAAAATAAAAACTTAATACTTATATTTGTTTTCAAAAAAAGATTTAAAAACCCACATTATTAGCAATATTCTTGAAAAATCATAGCAATGAATGGAACTTTAAAGGAAATGCTGCCTATCTAATATAGATCTGGACAGTATTTTCTGGACCAAGGGTCAGGTTTGATGGTCTGAGACTGTTCCAGAAAGTCTAGTGCCAGCTCCCAGAGGGAAATCACCTGGTATGAATGTCAGCACTCCTGCATCAAGTCTCAGACCTGCCCTATCCTCTTCCCCACTCCAGGGTCTCCTCAGTTAGTATCTGTTCCCCACCCCATACCCCTCTTAATTTTTCACCCTTCTTTCTTTTCACTTAACTGATATTAGAAGGTCCCTGTAACAAAGCTATACACCATAACACCGAAGTCTAACATAATCACATACCTTAAATATTGGTGGAAAACTTGAAACCAAATATCCCATTAGGACTCATGAAAAATAATCTCATGTTCCATATCATATAAACCTAGTTGTTGTAATCATCAGAATGCACCATTTCCCCCCCCCCGACAGGTGTTCAGCAGATAAATCCAAAACGAAAAGGCCACACTGTAAGGTGGGTTTAGAGGGGTACGGTGGTATAGTAGTATGAATATTTAGGAATGAAAATTAGCTTTGTCTGTCCCTATTTCACCTCGTGACTTTGGAAAAAAATCCGTCGACCTTTAGTCAAGTTGACAACATCTAAAGGCCGCTCTGCTTATTCTAAGAAAGGTCACATAAAATGGGAATGTTTGGTTCCTCAAACTGATGAATAGTTATCAGGTGATCACCACACTCAAACGTCTCTTTCTTCTTTCGAGAATAGATCGCCCCGGCCTTCTAAACGTAGGACATATTGAAAAAATGCAGGAGGGTATTGTGCATGTGCTCAGACTCCACTTGCAGAGCAACCATCCCGATGATATCTTTCTCTTCCCAAAACTTCTTCAAAAAATGGCGGATCTCCGGCAGCTTGTCACGGAGCATGCACAGCTGGTGCAGGTCATCAAAAAGACGGAGTCTGACGCCGCCCTGCACCCGCTGCTGCAAGAAATCTACAGGGACATGTACTGATTTCTTTTAAATCAACGATAACTTTTCAAGGAGTTTTAAAGTCGACAGCACTACAAAGGAGAAATGGGAGCAGCACGATTTTGCACAAACATCCACCACTTTAACCTTAGAGATTGGAAAGTCTAAGCTCTAGGTAACCGGAATATTATTCCATGTCTTTCTTGGTTTCGACCAGTACTTCTAAGCGCCTAAGTAGTACTCAAATGCTGGTGACAGGCGGCTAATATCAAGACTTGGAAAATTAAGGAGAATGATGTTCAGCGATCTGATTTTAACTCACTCAACTTTAATTAATGCACATTTCTTTATATCACATTTACCGTTTAATTAACTGGTAACCTCAAATTACGTTGCCAGCCTTCCCTTTTTACCCCTTCTTGACGGTTGTTCTCCTTTATAATTTTGAAAACTAATCAGCACTTTTAAACAACTTTTATAATCTTATAAACCTAGATGTATCCAAAGGTTAGGTATTTAAAAAGCAGCAAAATATTTATTTGGAGGACTTCACTTCTATTTCCTAAATCTGCTGCTTTTTAAACATAGGATTGAGAATTTTAAAAAACTATTTGATAAGCTATCAAAATGCAGCTGTTTTGTTCCATTCACTGTTTTCATGGTTGTAACTAATATATAGAAAAGCCTATTTCCAGATTTTTGTAGAAGAGCTCAGAAAACGTCGTCTCAAGACCTCTCTGGACTGTTGTAAGCTAGCATCTGTGGTAAGCAGGAACAAGACAAACTCCGAAAGCGTGTCAGCTTTCTGTTCTTTCACCTCTGTTCCTATCAAATCTGAACCAATTCAGCAGGCCTGTTTGTGGGCATGATCGTATTTTTAGGGACAGACTGACAAATGACTTGTAAATGTTCCTCCAGGCCCCATTTGGCAGCTCCTTTGTCTTTTCCCATGTTGCTTTTTTAAATATGACACTTTGTTTTTTTAACTCTTTGTGGTAGTAGATGATCCCCGGAGTGGAGATGAGGTCTATGTGACTTTATAATGTGGGCTAACCAGGGAGGCCAGTCACCCTGGAGAACAAGAGAGGGGGTACCATGTCCTTCAAATGGCGATTTTACTTAGTCTCAGATTTCATATCAGTTGGTTATTTTTTATGATGATTTAGGTGGTTTTATCTCTTTTTCCCACTATGTATGAAGGCAGTTTTCCCAAAATCTAAAACGTTTGTTTTGGCCTTAAAAATCAACTTCTCAACCTCAGTCCAGCTAGGAAAGCAATGTTGATTATGGCAGTTTGTTGACAATATATGGGCCTGGAAATATGTTCTATTTCTGTTCACTTGATAGATCAATTGTTCTGTTGAGAATTTTCAGCACTTCCCCCAGTCAGAACTGGACTGGACCTGCCAGGACCGCTGCCTCCATGGGAGCTGCTGGACACCTGGTCGTATCCTCAATGCCCCTTGCTCCCTCTATCTTTAGAAAATGTGGCTCTTCTGAGGTCATTATTATGTGAAGAATGATTAGGATTGACACTGATTTTGTTCTCAAGATCAGAATTATGAATATGAGACAAAAGGAAAGACAAAAAAGCATAAATTAGAATTAGGACATTTATTTTTTAAATTACACACTTAGTGGTGTTTCAGGTTGTTTTTTTTTTTTTTTTAATCCAGGATCTCCTTTTTTTAAAAAGAGGATCTGCTGGCCAGCAGTAGCCGACAGTCTGTCCAAGCGTCTTAGGAATCGGAAGCACATAAAAGTATTTCTATATTAAAGACACAGTTGAAAGGTTATCCTGATCCAGAAGGAAGCCAGCCTTTAAGTCACATGGCACTTCCCTTTCTTCTTTTCTAAAATGAGAACTCCCTGTGCTGACAAGACTCAAGGGCTGAAGCTTGTCCAGGGTTTCAGGGTCAGAGGCTCAATGAAAAGCCTGTGTTGCCCCCAGTGACTCTGCAACCTCTAGCTCTGATGTGTCCTCTGATTTCAAACCTCTATTTGAAATGCCATTCAAATAGACGTGGTCTGAGAAACTGAGCCTTGAGGTTTTCAGAGAAATCATTCATTTTGTTTAAATTTTCATAAAACCTATTCAAAATAGCTCCCTGTTTCAAGCTTTCAGCAATAAGGTCGAGTCAACTGGTAAGTTCTGTGTTAGCTCACTGGGATGCTCAGAGCATTGGTGAGCATGAATGCAGGAAATCAACTTAACTCACTCTGCAACAAGTCATTGTTTAAAACCTGGTTCTTCATTTTCTCAACTTTTAATAGCAAAAAGTGCCAAACTCCTGATTCCACAGAATTGCCAGATAGCCTTGGTCTTGTGTGCTGACCAGAATGAAGGGACAGCTAGTGGCTTATCTGCTATGTGCCTCCTAGTATACCAGTCAGCTGCAGGGCTCAGGATCAGACCTGGGCCTCTCCACTGTCTACCAGGAGCCTGGCAGCACATCCCTCCTCTTCCACCTTCTGGGCATCTCTAGCTGATTGTCCCACATGCTGAATTCTGTACCCCCCACACTTCAAGAAGCTGGAGGCCTATGCATGCATGAGGCCACTTGAAGGGCAGAATTGTCAAAACAAATGCTTCCAGTTACAGCAGCAAGAGCACGAGCTAGTGACCCTTCCTTTCTTTTCTTTTTGACAGGTTTTTCTCACACCCAAGCTGGAGTGCAGTGGTGTGATCATAGCTCACTGAAGCCTCAACCTCTGGCTCAAACAATCCTCCCGCCATCATACCTGAATAACTTTAAAAAAAATTTTTTTTGTAGAGATGGAGTCTTGCTATGTTGACTAGGCTGGTGTCCAACTCCTGGCCTTGAGCAATCTGCCCTCCTTTGCTTCCCAAAGTGCTGGGATTACAGGCATGAGCCACGGCATCTGACCCCTTCTTCCTTCCTTCCCACCTCCATTGTCGGTTTCCCCTCGACATTTCTCCAGCTCTGATGAGTAAAGCATCTTCCTAAAGAGTATGTCTGCCTGAACATACATAATGAATGTGAAGCAGGGTAGAAAAAGACCTAGTACTCAGGGCATTCACGAATGCCCACAAGAGCTGTCCATGTTTTAAAGAGATTCTTTTTTTCATTTTAAGAGCATAGAAGGTATCTTTCTGCTTGTGCTGATGCATTTCTTACTCTAAGCCATTTGAGACCCCAAGGAAAATGAACTGCCTGGAGTACTGTCTGGAGGTTCCAGGACAGCACAGCATCCCAAGTGCTAAGTAGGTCGATGCACAAGTAAAATACTTGATATATGATGACTAGCAAACAATTAAGCAACCACTCTTCCCCCAAATGTACTATGTAACCACTACCTCAATAGGCTTTGCAAAAGACACTGTTAAAATTAAGGTACACACACCTGGGTCTGTGTTCAGGGCCTCTTGAACACACATACCTGTGGTTGCTTATGCACAGAGAAACAGTACTTATGTGACTTTCAAAAGGAACTTCAGTTATTTAAAGGGAGACTTAAAGACACCTAAGTGCAAAAGTTGCTGCCCCAATTTGGTGAGACAGACTGGACATGATCTGGGCTTAGAAGAAGTAGCTGATGGTCCCATCCTGCCGCTAGTGGCGCCCACTGCCACCTCCACACCTTTGCTCCTTTTTACCTACTCCTGCTGGCCATGCAGAAGCCCCTTCCTAGGAGAGATCTTGCCAGATGCGGATGGAAACCGATGCCTCAAAGGCAACCTTAATAAAGCCGTCACTTGCGAAAGCCTGGCTCCTCTTAGCTCTCAACTGCATCCCTCTGTGTTTGATTCCAAGGATTTCCCACCTCAAGCTCTCTTTTTCAAACCTCTGTGACACCAGGCACATTTGATACTTACTGACTGGAGGCATAATTTTTGTCCTGACCCAGTGGCCACACCTGTCTTTGGAATGTCTTACGGAATTCCAGTTTAAATATGGTTTCATTGTTTCAACCCAGCAAGCCCAGTGCTCCCAGCTGAGACTGACTTCACCAGCATCGCCTTTGGTGGAGGGCTTCCAGGGACTGGGAAAAGCCGGCCACTTCAAAGTACCTCTTCAACCTGTGTAGTCTTTCAAAACACAGATCCCACTAGGAAAATATGCCAAGTGCCTGCAGCTTACCACCTATGGATAACATGGCTCTTGGCCACTTTCAAAGCAGGTTCCTGTGGTCTCCTCTGTTCCTCAGCCCCTTGAGGGGATCAGAATGGGAATCAAGCCCCATTTTAAAATGAAAACACCAGAGTGGAGGGCTGGTGAGGTGGGGCAAGTCTTTGGTCTCCAGGCATAGAGCACTTCCTCTACCTTCTCCGGCCTCCCTGCTCTTCCTGGGCACTCAAAACTGAGCGAGTGTGAGGCCAATTGTAAGTTATGACAGACCCCAGAGGCAGAGGCCTATAGTCCTCTCCTTAGCTTCCAGGCTTATGGACAGTCATCCCTGTCGCCTGCTGTTAGCATGGTTGGCCTGCTGCAGTGTTCCCGGAAAGATTACTTTGTGAAGGATGTTCTTTTAAATTCAGAACAGTGATGCAGATTCAGGAGAGGCAAGGAAATTATGCTGTCCATAAAAGTCACAAATCAAGATCAATGCCACCAATTGAGGGCTTACTGATGATTAAAACGTATCCACAGAAGATCTGTTTCAATGCGTCTAATTTTTATGGCATCAGCACTGCAAAGCATGGGGAAGTACTTGTTCTCATTCTAAAAGGAGCCCAGCTTCTCTAAACTGGGTCCAAGCTGATTTGTTTGGCTGCACTGGGATTTCTTACTAACACAATCTTTGCATCAAGTTGTCAGTCCAAGGGATTGTGTGCACCTTCCTAGAGGCAGCGATGGGGAGCAGTCATTCAATCTTGTCTTCAGACGTCACAATCTGGAAATGAAATGTCCACGACTATCTGGAGCAGAGAGGCTCTGAGGACTGCTCAGCTGTGCTGTAGTTTTGAGGAGCAAATAAAGGGTTGTGACAAATAAATGTTGAATAACCTGCCTCAACTGTGCTGGTGGCAACCAAGGGACATCTCACCAAGGGATTCTTTTGTGCCATTAAATCGTCAAGTGCCTTCCTCCTTCTAATTCCATGGCCTTTGCCCAGGGCATGTACTCCTCTGAGAGACTTTCTGCCTGGAAAGAACTAAGATTAGGCTCCAAAGATTGAGGTCTAGGTTTTTGCTGGGATTTATTCATTTTTTAGGTGCCATGTTGATAGAATTCATGAAAATGGTCAGTGACCCCATAGACTAGGGTAAGAATAAAGGTAATAAATTTGGCCTCACTCAGAATATAGGAGATCCGTTATATTTCTCTGGAAGTTGCAATAGATACTAAAATGTGAAATTGGAAGTTTCATTTTTAAAAAAGAAAATGAGCTTCATGCTTTAAATCACGACATAGTGCTTCCATTATGCTATTTTTGTAGAATGCAGTGGGTTCCTGTATATTATTTCAGTGGTGTGGGCTGCAAGCTTATCACAAAAAGCCATGTGATAGAACAGAAAGTGAGAGGCCAGTGCCTGGGGCTGTACCCACACCACCTTTTACCAGCTCCAGGTACCTGAGGGCAGATCTGGAACAGGGCGTCAACTGACCATCTGCTCAGAATTTCAGTTTGAGACATGAGAGACATAATTAGTTACTTTCCTCCCCCCAGAGAACGCATTTTGTGAGGGAAGAGGAGCTGCAGAATGTGGTTCCACTGAAATACACATAGCCACATCCTTTTGGAGTCCTTTGCTGATGCAAAAGACCAAACTGTGTCCCTGTTCAATGTCATATATTGATGGATGCATCTGATGGCATCAAGTATTTTAGTGGCCTCATGGCTGTTAGATGCATTATTTACAAAAAAAACCAAACATACATATATATATATTATATATATATATATATATATATGTGTGTGTGTGTGTGTAAGATTGATTTTTACATCATAAACAACATATTAAGACATGGGTCTTTTTTTATTTAAAAAGTTGCTAGTTTGGGTCAACTGTGAAAAAGTTCCATATTTTCAGGCCCAGAGAAGGGAATCTACCAACTTCCTCCTCTCTTGTCCTTCATCTCCTCCCACCCAGCCTCAAAACACATTTGTTTAATGAACTGATAGAGTACCATGCCAACTGGTGACAAATAAGTCCCCAAACCACAGGCCCTGCCTCCTAGGAAAAGTGGGGAGCCCAGGGCTCAAGGGCATGCGTGACCCCAGAGGAGATGCCTTTGGGCATCATCCTGGAGCCCCTAGGACTCAACTCTGCCTCAAGTCAGAGAAGATCAGGTTTCGGGACCTGAAGATGAACAAGTGTATGATCCTTTTACATAAAATCACTCACTTTTGGAAACTTCACTTTTTAAAAAAAATGCACAGTCAGTTATTTCTTCAGGCATAAAAAGAAATGTACCTCACAAAAGATGAAAACCACTCAGTACCCCTTTTGGCAAGATTACAGTGTTCATGTATTTACACTGTGTAGTAAAAAGAACTGTTAATAGCTATATCTTCAATACTGTGATTTGAGTTTTTTAAAACATCCTAATATAAGTATTTTACTAACTTATAATCATCTAATAATATTTTGTTAATTAATGTGTTAATTGACATATACTCTTAAAAGCCTGGCTCTTGAACCTATTGGAAACACAAAGGAAGCCGAAATAAAACAACTCAAATACAACTGCGTGTACACACACACACACACACACACACACATACAGCTTTTCATTTCTCCTGAGCCATGCAGAATTTATCGTCAATGTGTACATCTCTTCCTTCTGCCATACTTTGTATGCAAGAAGCATAAGCGAGTTCATCTTTCTTCATTTCTATCAGCAAGGCCTTCTTACACCCCAGGTTAGAGGCCTTCAATTTCATACAGCAGTGTTTTGCTAAAGATCCTTAACTATTCCTGTTAAGTAAATAGCTGTCTGCTCTTCAGGGAATTATTACCTATGGGTTATTACCAAAGAACTTTGGCAATCTGAAATATTCTGACAGAAATTATTTGCACGTGCTGGTTCTCTGGCACCTTCCAGATGGCCCAACCCCGAAGCACAGCAGAAACCAGAGACCCTGTGTCTCTCATACCTTGTTTCCAGTATCTTGGCAAAATTTCCTCTCGGTGCATATTTATAACACCCTCTGGGATCCACAGTTCCGTTATGCTAAAATCCTAGGGGAGAGGGTTGACAGACACACATGAGAATGGTGCAAATTCCCAAAGAAAGGACTGAGCTCAGTTTCTTGAGGTGTGCTCATGGTCACTATTCTTGGGTGCCTTATATTTTCAAAGCATTTAGGGCCTTTCAGACCCTTCTTTTTTATATTCCCAATTAGTAATTGCTGAGCAGGCTCCAGTGTCCTCTCTCCAAGTTCATACCTCTCTCCTGGTAGGGGGAGCAGACATCCAGGAACTCAGGAATCAAGAATGTACAGAGAAGGGCAAATATAATTTTCTAGTCATGTTAACTGATTGGTTCCAGGCAATTAGAAAATGGCTATAAAGTAACCTTAATTAAATAAAAAAAATCTTGGGTCTTCTTCACTTTCCTATTAGGAGATTGAACTGACCATGTGTATTGATTTTGATCCTGAATTTGTGAGAACTTATGTGTTTGGAATGTCCTACTGTAAGACTGATGAATGTAAAGAGTTAATTTCAGGGTACAGTCTTGCCTTTAATAGTTTTAAAAAATAAACTATTTTTTAAAATTTCGGGGTGAGTTTTGAGTGATGCTGTGAATTAAGTTTGGTATGGCAAAACCAGATTCTCAGCTAAAGTATCTGCCCTCCACCAGAACAGTCCCCTCACCCTTTCACCCTTGGCTGTCTTCACCTGTAGAGTCCCTTTTTGTCCTTCGGGGTACAGAATGGAGCTGGGACAATGTGGCCCCAGAATGATATCCATTTGTCTAAAATAACATAAAATAGGTGAAGCTTTTAAAAGTGTGGGAATCTTAAAATAAATGAGGGCACATATCAGTCATGAAAAGCTTTTTATTCATTCTTTCATCACAGATGACAGCTGACTTTGCAGTAGTTACAAAGTAAGACAGAGCAGTTCCTGCCACTAGGAATTCCCAAGCTCACAGACAGTGTAACACCACCTGCTACTGTGGAAGCTTCTTGGGACAGGGATGCCACAGCGGAGGGGGTGCTGTGGGCACAGCCACCAGGCTGTGGAGGTGGGACTGAGTTTGAGACGCAAGGGGCTGGCAGGCAGTGAGAGTGCAGGAAGCCCATGGCATTCCTGACCCAAGGGCAGGTAAGAGAGAATGAAACGGCCTGAGCTGGAGCCAGAGCCTGAGGGAGTTGGAAAGGCTGGAAGTCATCACTCAGCTTCCCGGGAGACCAGATCCATTGCCTGGCCCTAAGTGTCTCCAAATGTTTCAGTGGAAGGATTACTTTTCAAAACATTAGCTGGTTCTTTGAGTTTTTACTCATAAACATAATAAATACATGGTCAAGATTAAAAAAACATTTTCCAAGCAACACACAGGGATGCAAAGCAAACATTCTGTCCCCCTCTAGCCCTTCCACTCTGGTTCAGGAAAGCAGCTGCTGTCGATGGTTTTCCTTAGAGAGATCACTGCAGCCGCCTAGGGTGCCCCATGGCCCCAGCATACGTGACATCTTTCCCCACGAGCACCGGCAGAAGGCCTCCTGGTGAGCTGTCAGGAGAAAGGAGGTCTTTCCTCTCATCTGTGCAGCACTCACTCAGAGGCCTCAGCCCTGAAGGAGCTGGGGAGCACGGGGGGCAGGATTCTTCTATGATTGGTTGGGTAGCTGCCCAGTGGCTGCCTTCTGAGGTGTGTTCTTGGCATGGCTCCCTGGCCCTGTTGCTGCTGAAGCTAGATCCCAGCTCCCTCAGGCTGCAGATGCTGCTTCTGATGGTCTAGAAACAAGGCCGAGCATGGTAGCTCCAGGTCAATGGCATCCCTGAGTCAGGATGGCCCAGAAGCTCTGTGCAGGGTACTGCCCCGCTGACCTGGCACCAGTTGCACTCACGTCCGAGAACCAAGCTGGCTGGAGGGCTTCTTTGATGGCACTTTCCTCTTCTCCACGTCTTGCTGAATTTCCTGAGGAAAAGCACTGATGTTCTTCTGGACACAAGGGAGGCAAAATCTCTTGGAGTAAAATAAACTGCACTCCTGAAAGAATAGGGAAAGGAAGAGGCTGAGTACACAGGGGGTTGGGCAGGGCCCCCAAGATGCATTGAAGGGGTGGGGATGGCCAGAGCCAAACCAGCAAGAGAGGCCCAAAGGCTTGGCAGGGCATCCAGGAGAGAGGCAGTGAAGGCCTGGGTAATCCTGGGTAGGAACAGCTGGGATGGGACAGAAACACTCTGGGGCTTGTTCTGTTCCATCACAGTGAAGTGACAACAACGGGAAGCTAGAGCACAGACCACATCCCAAAAGTCAAAAATCCTATAGTTTCTCCTCCCAGTTATCACAGCAGGAATAGGGGCTTGGTGACCACCTGGTGCTGGGAACAGCAGGGGATGGGAGGGATAACCCCAGAGATCAAAGAGATCATGGATGAACGGCTGGACTGGGTAGGTGGCCAGAACTGTTCAGCCATGTCCACTGTCCCCACAACCTTAAATGCTAGAACTCCTAAGATCATCCTGGTACATGGCACATGACTAAGGATGATCCTCCCCAGCCTTCCCTGCAACTGGGCATGATCATGTGGCTTAGGTTGGTTGGTGGTATCAGCAGCAGCTGTGCGTGCCTCCTCCTTCTGGTTAGGCCTTCTAATAAATGGGTGTGTGCTCCTTTGTCCCTTCCCGCTGGCTGGGATGTGGTGATGGTGGAACCTGCAACAGTCACAGGGGACCCAAAGGGATGTTGTGTTGAGTATAACAGGGATGTCCTACCAGCTGGGACCACCTGCTCTGAACGCGTACATAGAAGAAAATAAGTAAATTATGATTTCTTTTATTTAGGCCACTCTATTTTTGATGTCTCTTTGTTCCAACAGCTTAGAGTATGGCTCAACTAAAATAAGGCTGTCCTTCCCACAGTTCTTAGAAAAGATCTTTGCCATGGAGATTCACTCACTGACAACCTACCATTTAATCAAAGAAAGTTGGAGACTTTTGATACCCACATAGGGTCCCCTCCCCTCTGCTCACCAAGCGCAGTCCAAGTTCCAGATGTAGCACTCAAGGCTTCCAGCTGCCCCATTCTACCTTTCCAGTCTTCACTTTCCAGCTCCTTCTTGACTGCCAGCTACTCTACACACCTGAAACACTCTGTACGCCATCTTTCCTCCAAGCCTCTGCCCATGCTAAGACCCCTCCCACCCCATCCCATCTCATCCACCTGGCCACTGAGGGATGGGGGCTGCCTGGTGTGGTCTGATACAGCTTCCCTGTGTGCACTTCACCTTGTGGCAAATGCTTGGGCACCTCTCAGACCCCAGGATCATGCTGGGTACTCCAGCCACACTCTGTAGGCCACAATACTACACCTCCATCCATCATCTCTGGTTTTTCAGCCATCCAGGTACACTTGGCCCACTCAGCCTCTCTGAACTTCAGTTTCTATAGGAATGGGTGTAATACCGCTTAATCCCTGAAGCCTCACCTGTAAAATAGGTTCCAGGCACAGAGCCTGGCAAACAACAAATGCTCAAGAAAGGACGGTCTCTTCTTCTGGGAGTTCCCACCAAGAACATCTAGAAAGAAAGTCCCTGTCCATGGAGAGAGGGAAGACAAGGGCTATGTGCACTATCGAAGGGAGAGGAAAGAACCCTGTGGTGCCACTGGGTGTGGTGCAGAGCCTCCAAGAATCTATTTCTCCTCTTCAGCCCAAGCAGAGACCCTCTAGCTGACCCTAGCTTTCCCCCTCACCTGTCCCTTTTGTCAGCTGCAGGACCCCATCTATAATGGCCCCTAAGAACTCTCATGGCCCTCCCTATCTAGGAGGGCACCTAGGATCACCACAGCAAGGACGAGCAGCCCCAGGCCCACACGCTTACCCACCGGGCCCATGCACACCAGTCTGCTGCATATGCTGCAACGTGAGCCAAGGATCAGGAATCTATCCTTGTCGGAGGTGAAGGGATCCTTCATGACATAGCTTTCCTCCAGGAGGCTGCAGGAGAGGGATGCCAACTGTCAGAACGGTCCAAACCTCTGCTGACTGAAAAACAGCTGTGAGTGATGGCCATGCAGCAGCAGCTTCCCTGGGGCCTGGACTTCCCCAGGGCCTGCATACCTGTGTAGGCTCATCAGGGTGGGGAATAGTCTACCTGTGCTGCAGGGTAGTGACAAAAAGGCCTAGCAATTGGGGGTCACGCTGGAATTGAAATTGGATCTGCTCTCAGTTCTGTAACAGCCTCGTCTGCCAAGAGGGCTGTCGCAGCATGAGCCCCAGACTCTAACCTGATTTACTGGGGTGGGGGCACAAGGCCTCCATCTGAGTGCCCCAAGCCTTCCCTTCACCCCAAGATGCCTGCTTCGGGGCAGGAAGTACCCGGTACCTTATCCAGCCTCAGAGGCCCTGGAAGCAGGCTGGCCTCACACTGCACACCAGAACGAGACGACAGGGTGATATGAGGGCACCCAAGTTCCTGTTCAGCAGAGGAATCAGACAGAAGGAAGAAGCCTTGCCCCACCACTCTGTCCCATGTGAGTAGCAAATTGGTCAGCTTTCCCACAAAGTGGCATTTGATGAAGCTCAAGCTAGGGATCAAGAAATAAGCCCCAGGACCCACTGGCTCTAGTCCAGGCCCACTCTGAGCAGATTCACGGGAAGCTGCTCCTCAGGATACGCTCTACCAGTACAGAAGCTGCAAGGAAGGCAGGCCTCCCACTAAAAACGTGTCATGGCAGGAAAGGCAGCAAGGGCACAGCTCCAAATAAGGATGCCACCACAGTTCCTCCCGGCTTCCACGTGGGTCATGGTGCCTCTACCCCATAACTGGAGCAGGTGCTAAACTCTGGGTGAAGCGTGGAGGAAGAAGCGTGGGGGTTCTGGAAGAGTCAGACAGCCCTCAAGCTTTGCCCGAGTCCTCCATAAGTCACACCTCAAGTGTCCAGAGCCTGGGCAGGGATGTGTCAGAACACCCAAGCCTCATGTCAGAACCAAGCACAGCCAGGCTCGGTGGCTCAGCCTGTATTCCCACGCCTTTGGGAGGCTGAGGTGAGTGGATTGCCTGAGCCCGTGCGTTCGAGACTGCCTGGGCAGCGAGACCTCATCTCTACAATAAATCAAAAAATCAGCCGGGTGTGGTAGCGCATGCCTGTAATTCCAGCTACTTGGAAGGCTGAGGTGGAAGGATCGCCGGAGCCTAGCAGGCGAGGCTGCGGTGGCCGGGAGCGGCCACTGCACTCCAGTCTGGGTGACAGAGTGAGACTCCAACTCAAAAAAAAAAAAAAAGAACCAAGCACAGTACCCACCAAACAGTTCTGGGCATGGGCTTTCCTGGAACTGGCCCCCAAAATGTATACTCACACCACTGACTGGGTGTTGGGAGGCTTCTGCCCCACATAGCTGTACGGAGCTGTCAAGGCACAGAGCTCACATGCAAACATTCCCAGGGGATGGCATTCTGCCTCAGACGCCATCTGCAAGATGAAGAGACAGAGGGTTACCTTCAGAAGCAAGAACCACTCACACCTAAAAGCCTTCCCACATACCCCACACTTCCACCAGCAAAATGCAAGGCCTCCCCTTACAGACAAGAAACCTCAGGTTCAGAGCAAGTAAGAGAGCTGCTCAAGGTCACACATCATTTTCAAGTGCACATGAGATATTACTAAGACAGAAATCAAAGAAATAGAAAATGGACAAACAAAAAAGAATCAGTAAAATCAAAGCTGTTTATTTCAAAAGTTCAATAAAATTGGCAACCTCTAATTAGACTGATCAAGAAAAAAGGGAAGATACAAATTACCCCTATCTGGAATGAAAGAGGGAATATCACTAAGACTAGACATTAAAAGGCTACTAAGAGAATGTTATTAACAACTTTTTACCAATAAATCTGATAATCTAGATGAACAGATTTCTTGAAAAAAACATCAATTCAGAAAAGTAACTCAAGAAAAATTAGGGAAAATGAATGGTCCTATATCAAGTATAAAAATCGAATTTATAATAAAAACTTTTCCTGGAAATGAATTTTTAAAAATGCGTAAGGCATTTTAGTAAGTAATACCAATTTCATACAATCTCTTTCAGAATATAGAATAGAAAGGAACACTCAGTGATTCTATGAGGCCAGTGCAGTATAATATGGACATCAAAACTGCCAATATTACCCTGATACCAGACAAAGCAATTATAGGAAAATGACAGACCAATATCCTTAACACAAATATACACATTTTTTAAAATGTTTATTTGGAGTCTCACTACGTCACCCAGGCTGGAGTGCAGTCGCACACTCATGGCCACCCCAGAGTCGACATGCTGGGCTCAGGAGATCCTTCCACCTCAGCCTTCCAAGTAGCCGGAACTACAGGCACACACTACCATGCCCGGTTAATTTTTGATTTATTGTAGAGACAAGGTCTTGCCAGGTTGCCCAGGCTAGTCTAGAACCTGCGGGCTCAGGCAATCCACTCGCCTTGGCCTCCCAAAGTGCTGGGATTACAGGCCGAGTCATCGAGTCTGGCCTAAATATACACATTTTTAACAAAATATGACCAGATTGAATACAATATATATAAGAAGCATAATACATCATGAGTGAGTGGATTTATCCCAGGAATACAAGGTTAGTTCGACATTTGCAAACCAATGAATGCAAGTCACAATAGTAACAGAAGGAAGAAAATTATATAATTATTATAACAGATACAGAAAAAGCATGACAAAATTCAAGGCTCTGGATGGTGCTGGGAGAGTGCTCAGCTCTCCTACTTCAAACCTAAGTGGCTATTCACTAAATTCTCTTCCTTGGCATTCAAGGCCTATTCAATTTGGGTACCACCTTTTTCCACATTACTCCCCCCTTGTGCTCAAGTGGCTCATTTCCAATCCTTCAGATATTCTCTGTACTTTCTCACCTCCTTGCCTTTGCTCCTACTGTTCCTTCCACCTAGAAGGCTTTCCCTTACATCCCTACCAATGAAATTGCTCTTTGGCTGTCCTGAAGAATCTCTTTGGCATTCTTTTAAAGTTATCTATCCTATGGTGCTTTCTTTTTTTTTTTGAGTTGGAGTCTCACTCTGTCGCCCAGACTGGAGTGCAGTGGCCACTCCTGGCCACCGCAGCCTCGACCTGCTGGGCTCCGGCGATCCTTCCGCTTCAGCCTTCCAAGTAGCTGAAACTATAGGCGCGCGCT